GTGTTGAAGACACCCATGGTCTTTTATCCAGTGACATTTTGGGGAAAATGAGTTTCATAGATGAGTAGGGATGCATTTAATGATTTAAATTACACTTTGATTAATAGACTAATTAGTAATGCAGTACATAAAATGTCAAAAAAAAAACAATGACCAGAGATTTGTACATGTAAGTCTTGTGAAATAGCCAAAAACAAACTGAAAAAGCTATTCATTTTAGAATATCTACAATCAGAGAAAAGCAAGTATCAAAGAATAAAATTCATCAAAACAAACTTGTGGAAAAATGAACGAAAACTAGTGTTCAAACAGACACACACACATAAACACAGAGACACTTACATATATTATGTTATGGTATCAAAAAACATTCTCTCAAGCAAACCCTGCTTTCATACAAACAAACTACTCTGTCATTTTTTCCAGGCTTCACAGATAAAGTGCACCAGGAGCTCACTTTATCAAAAGCATATTTCAACTCATAATACAAAGTACTATATAACGTGAGTGGGCTTCATTTTTTTTTTTTTATTCAACTTTTTCCATTCATATTCTGTCTATCTATCTTCTTCTGCTGTACCTTCTAACTAAACCTTCCTTTGGCTGCAGCTGATTGTGTGCATACTGAGTTTGGATTTTGAGGTTTACTATGTGGTTGTAGTGTTTTCTTAGTAGATTTTTGTAAACCTGGTGGAGATCAAGAATTCCACCTGTGTCCTTGCATAGTAAAATCCCAGTGTTCAGGCTGCACCAAAAGGTCTGTTGGTATCACTTTTTGATGATGTTTTTTTCACATGGGTCTTTCATTAAATGACCAGTGTGTAGGATTCAGTGGCATCTAGCGGTGAAGCTGCGGATTACAATCATTTGAATACAGCTCAGCCTTTCAGATGTGAAGGAAAACTACAGTGGCTGCAAAACCAGTGACAAACGTGAAAAGCCCTATCTAGAGCCAGAGTTTGGTTTGCCCATTCTGGGCTACTGTGGAAACATGGCGGTTCAATGTGACTGATACTTTCTAATGTGTAGCGAATTAACCTGACTGCGCCCTACGGTTTATTACACAGAACCATCTGGGAAGTCATCGATAGAAGCTGTTTGGAAAGGGCAAAAAACACTTGGCAGGTGATTGGATGAATTATCTGTTGAACCACCATAGCTGTTTAACGAACAGTGTCTTAGAGGTTAGAGCGGTGCTGCAGGGCTTTAAAGGAAAAAAAAAAAAAATTTTTTTTTTATACTATATATACTATAGTATATATACAGTATTTTTTATTTTATTTTTAGTTACAATATTTGTTTATTGCATTTTCCATCAACGTAATACTCCATTCATATGAAATGAATTTATGGAGTGCAGATAAAAAAAAACCTCCTCTTTATATACCCGATGTATAATGAAACCCAAATAAGAGTGATACTGTTAAGGCTTCGGGTCACTAATGGTAAGTAAGATTACATTTTTCATGTAGTCCTGCTGAATTATTGAAGGAAACTCCCACTGACATCATAACAAAGAAATGTAATCACCTACACAACATCTACAAGGTTAAGTTATTGATTGTAAGCACAATGACATGGAATTAGTACATTATAGAGATAAAATATAATGCTAGAGATATTCTTACGCTACAGATAAATCTTATGCTACAGATAAATCTTATGCTAGAGATAAAATATTGTTAAAGAACCAATTTAAAGATGTAGGAGGACCTTAGAGAGACCTTTACGATTATATTAAAGCCATTCAGCTGTAGTTTACATCTGTTTCTAATGAGGATTTCATTGCACTGGCTTTTAATTATGTAATTACACAGCAAAATACTCCTAAATACTAAATTCTACTTAACCCCCTACTTTTTGTGAACTGAAATATCTGTGTTATATAGACCAAATATGCAGTTCTTGCATACTAATACTGCCCACTATACAAAAAAAAATTATCACACCACAAACTGTATTTCTATGTTAATATTTATTTTATTAATAATAATAATTAATTTATTCTGTAATAAAGGCATTGGTTAACACCACTCATTACGCTCTATGTGTGTCATTATTTGCCCATAGTCCCAGTGCTCTGACACAGGTTCAAGGTTAAGTGTTTGTGTTCCACTACAAGCATTGTGTGAAGCGTTCCGGGAGCGTCCCCGTTGGTTCCCTCTGAACTCTAATCTCTTCAGTCCTGTCTGTCTTTGCAACATACTGTTGAAGGAGCTGCCAGATTTACTCAGCATCATAGAGAATGTCTGAATACAATCTCATCCCACTCACCCCCTCCATTTCAGCCCAGGCTCCCTGCTCTGCTCTGCTCTGCTGTGCTCCGCATATTTTTCATCACTACAAGCTCCTACTCCTCTGGGTCATCCTACAGACGTCCCTTTCTCCCGAGTCTCACTTTGTATTTTTCTCTCCTGTTTCACCCCCTCAACCTAATGCACGCACGCAGAGTCCTGTTGCTCTCAGTCGATGGATGGATCTGTGCGTGGCTCTGTAGGAAACAGACTTAAATATGTCCTTCAGGCTACTTGAGGAATCAGTAACATTCGCAGCCCCACTAAGCGCTGATAAATGTTTGCAACTCTCAGAGAGAGCATCACTGATGCAGATTGTATTGAATTTGGAGTTAAGGGCCTGAAAGATCACTGGACGTAAAGTGCCTGGATTCTGACAGTCTTTGCTTTTGACATATATTCAAAGTGGGTTAATAGAAACCTTGCCACTTTTGACCTGTGAGCAGCTATTTTCATAAGGTGACATGTCTACCATTGGCAGCTGAATTAATGGTGAATTTGCCTTAATCATTTGCAGTTGCTGCCTTTTGCAGACAATAGACCTGTCTCTTGAATGTGTGGCTAAAGACATGTAAGGCTTTGTGTAGGCTAAAGTAAATGATTTGTTAAAGTACTGGTGTGAGATCAAAGTCTCTTTACTTCAATGTCTGTGATTCATTCTGTAATCTTTCAGTTCACAAAAGCTTTTCAAAACCACATATTAACCTGAAAATGCATGGTCAAGAAGATAAATAGGCACACTTTTTTTAGTTCTTGAAAAGTAGAAAAGAAGAGATTTTTCTTATGATTTTTCTTCATAACGAATCTAGTTTCTGTAACACTTAGTCATTTACTATATCTTTGTAACACAAATAAGATATAGCTTGAAGAGACAACTCTCCAAAGGTAACAAAATCCGCCTACAGGCACCTCTAAAACTTACTAATTAGCACATTGTATCTCATTTGTTTAATCCTTAAAAAGTTGTGGTTTTTTGAGAGTTATGTGAGTATTTCTTAGCTCAGAGCTTCAACTTCATGAAGCTTTTGCAGGTTACCTAGTGCTGACAGTGCGTGACAGTGCTTGGCCAGCTGTTTTTAGCACATTGGGTCAGAACCAGGCTTGTCATTTCCCTCTGTTTCCAGTCTTGATGCTAAGCTAAGCTAACCAGCTCGCTATAGTCTTATATTTAGCATACAGCCATGAGAGTGGTATCATCACTTCCTTTAAATCAATACTGCGTTACCTGGGTGTAAATATCATTTAATATGCAAAGATTTTAATATTTTGTACATTTTAAACCATTCAAATTGTGCTGTTATGTTACAGCCTTAACCAATTGCTGAAACCTGATTTTCCAACATTTCTGTGCTTTAAAACCACAATACATGCAGTTCCTCAGGGCAAGGTTTTTTACTCTACAATAGTAAAACTCAAGAGGGTTGGATTAGCTTGTCTATGTCGATTGGGTATTACTGGATTTACCTTTAAGACCATTCAGTTGAAACTCTCCCTCCATCTGTCTGGAGGCTGAGCCATCACTGGCACTCAGCTGACAGAAGACCATTACCGCAGTAGAACAATGTGCAGTCTAGCGGTAGACCTGTTTTAGCTTGACAGTCTCGGAGAAAGTTGTTTCTGGGAGTCAATAAGGGCAATTATACTGTTATTCCAATTGTTACATTCACCTGTGGTTAAAATGAATCTCTGGAAAACTTTCATAGATAGACACTACTTACATATGGCAATAATTCTCCTGTTTTATTTAAATTTGACAATCGCCATCCTCACAGTTGCTACCTTAAGGATCTTTTACCATTCAGCCTTTGTTCTCTCATGATATGTAAATGGAGCTGTTTGGAGAGCTAGTAATTTTAAAATCAAAGTTATAATATCTTGTCAGCTTGGTGTGTGAATCAGCAAGTCTATTTGGTGTTTGACCCTGGCTTTGCGTCGGCGGGTGTTCAGCATCTTAGAGCCACTATCCCCTTTCCGTGCTTCAGATGGTGCCATAATTCCAAAGCCTGGACACTGCCAGTTAATCGGGTCCCCTTACATGGATGTGGGTAGTGCAGTGATGAATAACACAGAGCAACAGTCCGACCAAGATGTAGCTCAGTACTGTCAGCAACACCCACATCAGACGCCATAATCGCTCTAGTGATAGTCACCTGATGTTTTAGGCTGGTTTTCAGAAATATATGATAAATCACCTGCAGTTAACTCTGTTTTATTTATGGCAGCAATATTGAATGAAATTATAGACCACAAATTAAAAAAGTGTGAGGAGATAAAATGGCATGTGTGAAATCACAAGTGGTGTCTGTGTCATCAGTAGACTGACAGTGATTGCTATCCACATGCAAAAGGAGCCCACCAGCAATAATTTCCATCTCACGCACACACACACACACACAAACACACACTCACACACTCACACACGCCAACCCTGCTACACAACCCTTTACTCATCTACAATTACCTTGACACTTAATTATTTGTTGTTGTTGTTTGTTTGTTTTATATTCTTAAATTCATCTCTGGCCTCTCAATTCCCCTGACAGCAAAGATGAAATTGCTGAACATGTATAGTCAAAGCAAACACTGTGATGGGCTTATTAAAGACACGGGGAGTGTAGAGGAGGAGCCCGGGTCTGGCTGCAGCTGCTGCATTGGCTGTCTGCTCAGCAGTGGGGAGGGGCTGAGGGAGAGAGAGAAAGAGAGAGAGAGAGAGAGAGTTGGGGGAGGAGGGCAGTGCTCTTGTTGGGAGATAGGGAATGCCCGTTAGTTGCGTCTACCGATAATAGCACATCAGCCAGAGCGGTGCTATTGGGAGAGCAGAGCACAGGCAGTGCGGAGGACTGAGCTGCTGAGCAGAGAATGGTACACTAGAGAAGACAGGCACACTCAGAAAGAGACAGAGAGCGATATAGTAAGGGAATAGGGTGCGCATCAGAGAGCACGTTGAGAAGAGGAGAACGAGCAGAGCAGTGGAAAGAGGAGAGGAGAGTGAGGAAGGGAGAAAAGTTACCAGGTCAGCAAGACAACGTGGAAGTGGAGCAGCTGAGAATCATTGGGGTCTTTCTCACTCTGGAACAGCACGGCACAGCAATAAGCAGCGCAGGAGGAGAGTGATATTACAAGAGGGGACAGAGGGAGTACTATAACTTCTTCCTGGGAAGACAGTCCTGTCATTAGGCGAGGGGTAATGCTCCTCACAGGACCCTTCTGCACAGCTACTTCAGGACTATCACTGCAAGACAGCAGCAGCAAGCAGAAGACACTTAAGCCTGGCAGAGGTGCCTGGGCAGTGCAGTTCTACTCACTTCTGTACTGAACACTTTCTTACCCAACTGTGTGCTTTGAGGTGGATGCAGTTGTGTTTCTGTGAGGCTTTTATCTTTTTTTTTGCTTCAGAGTGTGAAGCAGTGGAGATTTGGTGGGTGACTTGTCCTGTCCTGTCATCTCTGAGACTATGGTAGACTGTGCGTCAGGGAGCCTTTCATCAGCAGCTGCAGCTTTAGAGCATGGAGAAGTCCAGCAGTGAGGAGTCAGCCATTCACCGTAGCCCCTCCGTAGATAGCCGTGACTCCGATTTTGCTCAAGCCTCCACGTCTGGCCGCCCATTTGGCGGCCGCGGCTTCACTGCCGGTGCATTCTACGGCTCCACGGGGCCGCGCAAAAACGCACAGCAGGGGCAGGCTGGAGCAGCAGCTGACGCCAGCGCAGGAGACAAGACCAACAACAAGTACAGCTCACCCAAAGGCAGCAAATACGTGGTCTTTTACCTGGATCTATCCTTTGTGTTCCTTTTAGAATTCAAGAAGTGCAACATGGCAAGAGGCTGCCTTTGCTGCTTGAAGTATATGATGTTCATCTTCAATCTCATCTTCTGGGTAAGTGGCTCATCATTGTGTTAATGCTTTTCTCATTATACCTGTTCACATTGATCTAGTTGATGTTAATAATACAAATGTGCAGTTATGGCTTAAAAGATAAAGTAAATCTAGCTTTAGTAACTCAGCATTTATCATTATTCATATCTGTAGTAACAAATGTGGAGGCTCAGTATGAAGTTATTTTGAAATGTTAATCAGGAAAGATCATTGCAAAGTGATGGTTATCAGTGTAATCATGCATTTCTAATTATTACATCAGGCTGTTTATGTCTGTTTTTTCCCCTGTGCATGTTGCTATTCCTGGATGTCATGACAGAGTCAGTGGCACTGCACCAGGTCTCCTTTTGTATGTGGTTGATGGAGGGGATTGGATTGTGGTGGTAAGGAGGACATGGGGTTCACTAAGGTCGCTTATTCAGGTGGTTATATGATTTACAGTGAACATGGAGTTGAAATGCTGCTTTTGGCATGCAAGTGAAATAGTATATGTCTCTACAGTACAGTTACATTGATGAGCAACATAATATGCACCAAGGCGATATGACTTGAGATGGTTTAAAGTGAGTCTGCAGGAGATGATCTGATTTATGTGCTTCGTTTTATTATGTACTCTTTTGATGAGATGTCTTTGCTCTTGGGTAAAGCTGTGATCAAAAAATTGAGAAAATTATAGGTGAAGTTTAGAATTGCTACACCATGACATTTGGCTCAATCTCTGTTATTAATTTAATTAAAAGAAATATTGTAATTATCTATATTTTTAGTGATTATAGTAATAATAGGAAAAAAGATATATATAATATAATAGTGCTCAATATGCCAAATCCACTCACAAATACCTGGCCAGCGTGTGGCAGGCTGTGCTGTGTACCCATGCATGGGCATTTGTTGTAAAAGTGGGCACCCCTTGAATGTTTACAGAATGGATTAAAGGGCTTAAGGGTTATGGGGCCAAGTCTTTTGTGTGAATGCAACCAAGCGTGAAGAGTAAAAACATCCCAACACTGGGGACATCCCAACCCCAGCCCACCATGTCACTGGGTTGTGAGCCCTGCTAACTAGGGCACATTTGAGGCACAGAGTGGGCATTAGCTTGAGCCCAGCTGTGAACAGGCCAGCATTGAAAACACACACACGTACACATGCACCACACAAACCGAGATCTATCCCATTGTCTGCTCCATATACTAAAATTAACAGCACTGCCAGTGGCCAAGCTCAGGCCTGAAGCTGTGGACCCCTCTCCTGCTTCAGGGCAATATCTCCATGTCATTCTCATATCATTACCCAGTCCACCATAGCCAGGGAAAGAGGGATTGGCAAAGACACAGAAATGGCCTTGGGGCTCTTCAGCATGCCTTGCCTTGAAGTAAATGTTTGTTTAAGGGAATGAAAGGATCAGAAAAGCCTAGCTGATATCGGATTCATTAACGCAGACATTGACTTACCTTCATGTGAGCACCGCTTTTGAACTCGGTAAGCACTGAATGTCTTCGTGGGCGCAGGCCTTGTTTGAATTACGGATGGAAATTTTAAGCAATTTCCTAAATCGATTGTTGACATAAATGATCGATTAGTGGTTATTACCAAAAGCAGTGCAAATGTGTTCCCTTATTCTTACTGAAAGCTTCATTTAAATAGATTAAATGAGCTATTTTCATAGCACAACCTACGTAAGTAAGGTATTTGACTAAAACATAAAATAACCACAAGATCATAAACTGAATCAGATAAAATAATGCCATAAGGATATAAGTTCCTGCTCATCTGTTGTTAGTCAATAGCCAAACTAAATTTAAATGATTAATCATAATTATTTATTATTATTATTATCATTCCTGTTTTACAAAAAGGGCTAAAACCTACAAATGCCAATCAAAATTGGTTGCCCTGAAGACGACGAGTTGTAGGGGACAGGTGCTCAATAGTTCAGGTGAAATCACACCTCCAGCACACCATCAGTGCAAGCAACACCTGTTCCCATACTCTTCTGTTGAATCTGATCATGATTGCTGATGTCCAGCCACTAAAAATACCTGAACAGACACCAGAACCCAACAAGTGATGTTGCTTCAGCTTTGAACATTGATATATTCTTGATCAGTCAAATCATTATAGTGATTTAATCATTTATTGATGAATAACAACTACTCATCAATATTCTTTCTTTGAGCTGTGAGCGTAATAGCATTGATGAAGGTCATATTAGACTCTACATTAACAGAGACCATCAGTTACCTGTTTGTCAGTTCCGGCCTGCTTGACTCATTCAATAGATCAGAAGCTGCCTCAGTGCATCCTTTGGCAGAGGTCATAAGGTCATTAATATCTGTTGTCACAAGGGATTTGTGTGTAGGCGTTTACTTCCAGGTTCTTTCCAGCTCAGTTTGTGATTAACCCTTTTCAGTGGCAAAACCCCACCACTAATAACCGGCTGCTGCACACCACTAATAGGGAGGTGGAAAAGAGGCTTTGGATTTCAATGCTGGTGGCCCCAGATTCATGTACCTAGTTTGTTGTCCTTCATGGAAACGCATTGCAACCATCCTGAGTGTATGCGGAAGCTGTATAGTGTAAGATTTAAGAACTCTCTGTTATTGTGTGTGAACATAAATGTGTGTGTGTATGTGTACGTGGGGGCAAACGGTTCATAAGTGGCCATGGACTTTCCCCAGCGCAGCGCATCCCCTGCTGTGCAATAATTGAATTTTTACTCTGGTAATGTTCACTTAATGAACACCCACCATGCATATTCCCTTCAATTCCCCCAGATTGATACTCTTGTTTTCTTCCCACCACTGGATCATTTTAATGACAGTTTAATCAGTGTCACATGGGAAAAGAGTGGGGTGATGAGAGGGTTAGGAAGTAGCATGTGGCTGGTGGGTCTCTCCATCATCATGTGACAACTCTAGGCTCATTGGCGGCTGGTTGACTGGCACCCAGGATTCTGGGGAAGCAGCGTACGCTGTTGAAGGTTAACAAAGCTGGGAATAAAGGGTTCGCTCATCAGTGAGGGGTCGGGATGGGGTGCCTGAGCACTCTGGGATAGAGGGAGGGTGAGAGGCATGTTGTATCTTGACACCCCTGGGACTGTGCTGCTCTACCTCTGACACTCCAGGAATCACAAGGTTACTGCAGCTGGTAGGGAGGTTTGCCTCTGAAGCTCTGACATCTCATCTCAAGTCTGAAGGGGTCATGGTGCGCTGCAGTAACCAGACACCAGGTACAGCAGGGGTCTCTTTTTTCTGACTGTGCGCACATGCACGAGCACACTTGCTGTACACATAGCCATCCTTGAAAGAACGCTCACCACCCACACACCCTCCGCTCCACGGGGCTTACAGTGGTAACTTGAAGCACAAGGTAAACAGCGGCAGGCACTCCAGGCATCTCCATACATGCGCTCATCCTCAGGCCCCCCTAGCAGTTGTTCATGACCATCTGGCTCCTCTTTCTTATGAGGGATTAGAAGAGTCTGAGCTGTAGGGGGAGTTTCGGGCAGATTAGAGCATTATTGGGTGGTGGGGTTAGGATTGAGAGCATGGCTCCTACGGATAGCTCTATGCTAAAGCCAACAATCATCCAAGCAAATGGCCTTTGTGCTGTGACAATCTGTGGTTTAGGGAGGGGGATCTGTTGTGCTCTCTCACAAGCACAGTGACTGTTTGACCAGCTTGATAGGGTGATTGATGTTAAGTCCTGTTGGTGTCAGCCTTGTGAGCATATCAGTGTTGGTGTTCTTGCTGGGAGCAAGGATTTCAGTCTCTTACTCTACAGATCGTCCTCTGTACTCGCAGCCTCCTCTGTTAATCTCTTCCATTCAAGATTCAATTTATTGTCCACTGCTGCACTTATTTATCTTGTCCAGTGTTACTGAACACCTTTGAAACGTAAAAAGATTAAGAAAAAGGCCTGAAAATACAACACAGGGATGCCAAATCACAAGCAACACCACACAAAAGCTCATTTCCTTAGTTAGAGATAGATTGCACGGTAGCTAAATGGGCCCATCCCAGCTGTACCATTATCATGCCATATCAAAAGCTAAAGCATCATTTGATATTCATATGAAAAAGAAAAGTGTCAGCTCAGCAGTCTTGTCCTACAAGTACAAGAGGGGTGGTAGTATCAAAGCTACTCCTTTGTTAGAGGAAAGAAAACCAAATGTGTTTAGCATTCATGAATTCCTGTGCTTACTTAAGGGATTGCCGCAGGATTTATAAACCATTTGGTCCAAGGCAACAGAAGATTAGTTTCCCTATCGATCTAATCAGTGAATTTGACATTTAAGGTTTCAAATGTAACCATACTCTGATGCTACAAAGACTACAGCTATTGATAGACATGAATGTCTGCATCTGGTTGAGTGGAATTCCATAAAGCATTTAACACAAGCTGTCCCTTTTCCCTGGGATCTCGATCTAAGGTGCTGAAGCAATTTTCCTGTTTTTCATCCTCCATATTGGCACACGAAAAGTTCAGTCATCTTTTATGGCTCAAGAGACTGTGTATTGTAGCAAACTTATTTCTTTTTTCCTCTTCTTTTTCACAAGAGGCACAGCTGAACTCCATCAGTCACTGCCAGGTGAAACAAGGATTGGGGCACAGGAAAATAGATGAGGGTTGAGTGCGCTCCGCATGATGATGAAACAAGCTGTATATGCTGCTCTGTCACATGCATTTAATTCCATCAGGCTATAGTGAAAGGCTGGCTCTTGAATTGGCTTTGCGTTTGAAATGGCAGAAGGGAGCATCAACCTCAGCCAGTCTGTCCATCTAAGTTTTACGCCTCCTACTATGACAGAATAGGCAGCCAGCGGGTTTAATCAATGGTCAATGCAACCAGTCACAGATTGTGTTTTCATATCAAGCATTTATACTGTATAATATGCTCACATTTCATTAACTATATAGTAGCCAGACTGTGTAGCATGAAAGCTGGACTTTGGATCTTTCTGCAACATTTACACAGATAACATTACTATATTTCATTA